CCGCCGCCGCCGCTGCCCAGCCTGCCCGCGGAGGAGCTTGTGGGCGGGGAGCCCTGCGGGAAGCGGAGCCCGAGCAGCAGCGCCGGCGCGGGAGAGCCGCCCGCGGAGCCCGACGCACCGCAGGTCTGTAAGCCCGCGCTCTCTCGCTCTTCTCCTTGAGCCTTTCTCAACCCCCGTCCCTATCGCCCCGCGTTTTCCCCGACTGCCGTGAATGGCAAGTGCTGATCCGTGTCTCCGTGAAGAAAGCAACGCACTATCCCCCTTCTGCTCTGAACAGGCAGCTGGCAGCGGCCCTTCTTGCTTCTTCGGTGCTAACGGGTTCAGGTTCACCTGAGAGCTTTTGACTTCAACTCTCGTTTGAGCTGGTAGCGGTGAATCCGTTAAATTGACGATTCTACATGACAGAGTCGGGAAACCGCTGTACTTGAACCTGGTTGATAGATGGGTGCTGGGAAGCCGTTGCTTTCCCAAAGGAAAGGTGCGTGTGGCTCCATGAGTGGAGAAGTTGCAGGTTGTTGCTCCGTAGTGAATGTACCCCTCTTCCGCCGAGTGCCCGCTCATCTTTTGGAGGAAGGCTGCTGCAGAAATGGCAGCAGTAATGGGACGGAGAAATTTTCCCCAGGCATGATTTTTCCGAGTTCTTTGTACAGTTATTTCCGATTTTAAGAATGAATGCGGATCCTTAGTAGGTAATACTGGACTGAGGAACTGGGTCTCTCAGCCACTTTTTGCGCTAGTTGTTGTGCCTGCCTGTTTTACCAGGGGAGGCTATAGCCATCCTGAGAACAACTCTGAAATGACAAGCACATTCGCCAAATGTCAGCAATTAAGGACCTGAATAAAGTCCATTTGCACCTTTACAAATGGTCTGTAAGGTTCAGAGTGCGCAGCTGTACTTGTCTTCTCCTGCTCTCCTAGAGTATTTTGTTGAAAAGGTGTCCTACCACCATAAAGACTCAAGGATTAGATACAAATTTCACTAATAAGCATCAATCTTTTATGCAATGATATCTGAGAATATCAAAGGCCCTTCATGGTCGTTCAAGCCGTAGAATTACTTCGATGAGTGTACATCTATATATGTGTGTAAACTCTACAAACTGTGAATTAATGTGGCCTATTAAAAAGGGAAATCCCACATGAAAGTCCTTCAACTTTGCTTTTCCAGTATTAGCTGTATCTGTAGCTGTACCAGCATTTCAATGCAATTCAATTGATCCCATCCAGTTCAAAAATGCTGTTGAAAACAGACGCATATCCACAAAACAAGTGCAAAATAAGAAGTTGCAAGAAATCAGTTCTGTCGTAGTGCTGCTTATCATCCTCCCTTTTGCTCGTGTTGGCTACAGAACAGGCACAGGAGCAGAGGCAGCTGTACCTGTTATTCTTCTTGTGCTCGCAAAGGCATTTCCCCTGCAGTTTGCATGGAGCCGAGCAGATGACTCTGGCCAGGTTCACTGCAGGTGCCTCTTGCCTCCCGGGCAGTTGTAGTACAATCAGTGCGAAGGGATCAGGTGACCTGGAGCCTGAAAGCGGGGTGGGTGGGAGAGAAGGAGTTTGGAGCAGTAGGGGAGCCTCCTCCTGTACCGTGTCCCCAGGAAGGTCTTGTCGGGAGAAATGCCAGAGCACAAGGCAGGTGCCGGAGGAAGTCCCCCTCTTCGGGAGCTGTACGGCTGAGGGGGCTTAGAGTCTGTGTTTCAGCTGACTGACCCCGCCTTCTTGAGCCCTTAAATGCCTGATCTCAGTCAGTGATTGCAGATTACTTAATTTGTAGCGTGTTCTGTATGAAGGGAAGTATTGAAAGAAAAGTTCCTGCTGCTTCGGTTAATGAGCCTGATACCTGTGTTTCTCTGGGGTTACGGGTGTGAATATCAAGTTCTGTGTTTCAGAGGGTGTTTTCTTTTCCTATCCTTGTATCAGCCATTCAAGCATGACGGCTACAAAACTTGGTGGTGGGGATTGTGCGTTTGGACTAATAGGATAAAACTCGTAATATTCTGCACGTCATACTTACAAAAATTATGCTACTTTACATATATCACCATTACAAAAACATTTTTCTTATGCGGTAGGAATACCACGCGCACAGGAGTCCTCTGCCTTGCTCCTGGTCGTGATGGCCTGCAGGTTGAAAGATGAGATCGTCTCGGGAAAAGCCACGGCTTTTGCGTCACCGGTGGACGGGAAGCGATGTGTCCGTGGGGGCGGCGCCGTCCCCGCGAGCTGCCCGTGGGAAAGGCCGGGCGGGCAGCGGTCGGTGCCTGCAGTGCCGGGCGGAGGCTGCGGGCGCCGCTGTTGACCGAGGAGGAGCGAGAGGAAGGCCGGAGCGCTGCAGGCAGCCCCGCCCGCTGCGGCCCGGCTCGCTCGCTCGCTGGCTGGCTGGCTCGGCGGCCGGGCGGTCTGCGAGCGTCCCCGCGGTGCGGAGCCGTGCTGCAGCGAGGCGGAGGGGCCGGCGGCAGCGGGCGGGGGGGGGGGGGAGAAGCG